GAATAAGCTATCTCTTGGTTTACATGTGTTTTTAGGCATGGTCCGTTATAACATTCGTTATTGTGGGAGTGGCTAGGCTAGTTTTCTTCGTTAAGTGGTCAGAGAGTTAATTCTTATGAATAGATTCATCATCTTCTGAGAGGTTTTGCTAAGGTTGGGTATGGTATCTATTTCAAGGCTAATGTTGGCGGTCATTCTTTAGTTAGTTCCCAGTGAGGGATATTTTTATGGCGCGCCTACAAGTCGTTATGTGCCGGGAGGATTGTGTTTTATTGTTGTCTATCTGATTATCTCTGTTATTATTTGTTTATTCAAGTGGGTGGTTTATATACAAACCGTATTACACTGAGTTTCAATTTGTTTTTTGACGACTACAGAAAGGGTTTTTCCTATTTAATGATTTGGCTAAGCTTTTAAGACTTTTATTAAACTATGGTATTTTTTATGCTAATTATTTAATGCGAAAATTTGTTGATGTCGGAAAAAAAACTGTTAACTCCTGCCTATGGTTTAATAATTTTTTTTAGAAACTTAATGATGTGTAGATTTTCGTGTAGGCATAAAGGGCATGGGTCATCCCAGGTTTTACAAGTTCTTGTTCTATTTACTATTTTCTATTTTACTTTTGGTGTTTTATTCGTTTCTTTTAGATGCAAGAAATATTGGGATAGAGATGTCTGATTTCTATTTTGAATATTGTTGAAGGAGCTCTTGTGTTGCCTCCATCTAATTTTAAATTTATTATTCGTTGAGCCTATGTATATCCTATCAGTGTTAGGACTCTCAATGGATGAGATAGTGCATTGGTATACCACGGATTTTGTGAGGCATTTATTTTCCAACGGGCAGTTTTTAGGGTCTCTACAATCACATAATTTTTCGTTATTATTATCTAATTTTAGTTTATGAGTTTTATTACTGTTTTGGCATGCGTGTTTTCTAGGATTTTCTTATTATGTCTTTTTATGATTCTTTCTAGATTTTCAATGCAGCTGTAACTCAGTTTTAAGCTGTTTTTAAGATCTCGCTAAGTTTGCCATTAGTGGAGAAGTGCTTTTCAATTAAAGCTAGGAAAGTATGGCCTAGTTTGGTACTGGTAAGAACGTTCACCTACCTTACAGAAAACCTAATACTAATCCCCTGTATGTACACTAAGTCAAACATAAAAATTTCTTAAAATAATATTTATTTATATAAATATATATATATATATATATATATATATATATATATATATATATATATATATATATATATATATATATATATATATATATGTATAAATATATATATATATATATATATATATGTGTATATATATGTGTGTGTGTGTGTGTTTGCGTGTGTGTGTGTGTATTATATTATTTAACCCTGACTTTCAACTGAGATGAGATGTGACACAAGGTCGAGATTAATGCAAAGAAACCGAGCGCGTACACACGGGGAAAGAACAAAACTTGCCTTGTCCCCGCAACCGTAGGTTTTGTTTGGTATCTATATAACTATCGTACCCCCAACTCTAATGCAATTCGGGGGCTCCAGCAGCTGTTTCCATGGATCGAACACCTCACAGTATTTTATTTTCCCAGATGCGTCTTTGACCGTAGACAAAGCCATAACTGAGTCGCGATCTACCCGAAGGCAGAGACGCAACTCAGTGATTATAATCTAAGCCCCCGGGTATATATTATAAATATATAATATACATATATTATATGCTAACTGGTTTTTATATTTGAAGAAGTGTTGTATTTATACAAGTTTTGTTGAAGATCAACGGCAGGACTATGTTATGGACTTTTTAATTTGTGTTTTTTTTTTCTATATTTCAGACTGGCTCCATGTTTTCCGCTTTATAATTAAATATAAAGTCTCCGCTCTCTGTGTACATCCGGTTTTCATAAGCCTTTACCAAAGAGATTTTTTGTGCTATACCATTTATTGTGTGATGTCAGCCAACTATCCATTGGTAGTTCGTCAATAGTAGATCACCAGCTAATGCGACAAAAATATAAGAAATCTAACAAGCCCTTACCAATGACACAAAATTAATATATTACGTAAACTATTAAGAGACTTAAAGAAAGCCAAGCAGCTTCAATAAAATGTAACAGAACTCAGAAAGAAACATACTTAATATATTTCCTGGAAAAATTACAACAACAACCAAAAAGACGAAATCTCACGTGAACGCAGAAATCGATTTTCTGAGTTTGATAAAACTAGCAATGTAGAAGAAAAAAATCATTTAATAAAGGCTTATGAGAGCAGAATGTACTCAGGTATAGGACAATGTTTCATTTTCTAACGGAAGCCGGTAAAATGTCCCGAAACAGAAAAAATAAATTAATAACAAACTTTTGTTGGTGTGTTTCATTCACTTGTCTAAATGACAAAAATAACTGCTGTCCAACTTCACCCAAATATATGCTAATATATACTTTTGAAAATGTCCGTTTTTAAAAGCCACAATAAAATATTCCTCTTCCGAATATTCTTTTATGCATATTTTAATCTCAAAGCTAATTACGAATGATGTCCATTTTCCATATCAGACTGTCAATCTTTTAATTTCACATTTTTCTATTTTTTTTTTCTTTTAAGAATCAGTGAGAAATTTTTAAAATGTATTTTTATATCAAATGAAAGTGTGATCGAACTGCTTATTATTTAACAATCATTGGAATTGAAAAAAATGTGTGGTTCCCTGTTAAATTATACAAAATATATCAATTTTCAAAGAGGGTCTAGACTTTTGCAAGTCACCCGTACAAGCTTACATTAACTGATATTCCCAAGCAGTTACCCCTCTAGCTACTGACCCGGCCCGATGTTGCTTAACTTCGGTGATCGTACGGTAACTAGTTTTTTAACGAGATATCGCTGTAGGCCGACCGATTAAAGAATACGTAATGAATGAAAATAGCATTTAAAGAAGAAGTCTTACAAAACATATCTTCACATTAAGTGCCTTCAATATCTAACTATCTTTTTAAAATTACAAAGATGCCTCATATATTTTACGACCGAGAAACTGAAGAACTCAAGTCCATGACCCTTCAGGATATAGATTTTCATGGCAAGTAGGTGTTAAATTTTATTTATGGATTTAATAACTATTTTTATTATTCCGATTACGTATTTTATTCTTCTCATAATATAAAACTTGCAATACTCTTTTAGCCGTGTTCATTTCGGACCAAAGCCAGATATGAAGAGAAGATAATTTTTAACTCAAGAAGGAACTATTTCCCAGATGTCACTATAATTATGAGGTGAATCTGTCACTGTGATGACTCAAGAGAATAATGGATCATTTCTTTGCTAGTTTTTCTTGTCACCATTCCAAAAAATAAATCACTTTCGCCATGATTCTGTTGATACAGCTTCTGCTGGAATCTTAAGATTAGAATTAATATATGAACGTGCTAAGACATGTAGCTGCTCGGAGATTTGCGAAGCGTGATGCTAAACTCATTACAAAAGATGAACGACCAAATTAAGAAATTTATAATATATTTTATGAAGTTACCAGTAAATATAACTAAACCTAAAAGTTATCGGCGCGGAAAAGTAGAAACGCCGCGCTGAATTGAAATTCCGACCGAGGCAGTTAAGTTGACTTTCACAAAAATGCCATTTCCAAAGACAGGAATCCATTCCATCTTCATCGTGTCCTCCCAGAATTTTCTCTTTTTGTTCTAATTTTTCATTCGTTACCATCACTTTTAGTATTTGTTCTTTTAGTCATGTGACTCTAATTTACATTCATGTCTTATCTTCCTACAAGACATAGTCAATCAGAATTTTCCACATGTTTCATATACTTATTCTAAGTATCTTCACGCGTTACCATCATTTTCATACCTTGTTCTGCTTTTCATTATGAGATTATATCCCTTCAAGACTTAAGCAACTATGACTCTACATAACTTCATGAATTCTCTGCTTATAAGTAATTTTCGGTTCTTTACCATTCCTTTTTTGCCTTTTTTCTGCTATCCATTCACACAAATTCCTGGAGTAGTTTAATCCACGAATGCATACGGAGTTATTTAGCAAATAACGAATCATCCGCCTTGTTTCTTGTACAATATTAATAAAATATGAATTAATATTAAAATCTGAGGATCCCTGACGCAAGCCATTCCTTACGTCATTCTAATTCTGAACGTTTTTTTTTTATTTCTTTGACGATTTTGTTATAACAAATACTATATGATTTTGTGATTAAAAGAACATTTGTTACCAACGATTTTCACAAATAAATAATTATTATCAAATAACAAAATATCACTGAATAGAAATCGTTGGTAACAAATGTTCTTTTAATCACAAAATCATATAGTATTATTTTTGGTGTAAAATAAAGGAGAACAATTTTAGGTTAAGGATTAAGAAAAAATGATCTAAAAAAATCACTCTACAGGTTGTTGAAAATATAATGTATTTCTGAAATGCGGTATATTTGGAAGGTCAGTTGGCGGTCGCAAGAAAAGTTAAAAATAATATATATCAAAATATTGCAATATCTTTTTATTGGTCCGTGAAGTGGCGAATCAACAATTAGCGAGAACGCGAGATTTCATTGTAAATACAGGCGTTTCTTCAGAGATAATTTCTTACTTGGGAAGAGCACATAATCTTCAAATGTTAGTAATGGACTATTCTCTTCTTCGCTTTCAACCTATACGTTTCTGACGACTAGTTGGCAAAAATTCCTTGATGGAAAAAATAAAAGGAGCCAATATAGACCAGATGCTTAGTGTTATTTATTAGTATCTGATGCCTATCTCCTGGTGAATAGATGACTCAATCGATTTTCAACAAGAAACGGAAAATGTGCGACTTTGACAAATTTGGCCGGAAGATAGTTGTGAAGATTTAGGCAACCAGTACAGTCCACTACATACCACCAACTTTTAGTCTCACAAACATCACGGCTTTAAATAAAAAGCAAAAGGTTGACAATGTGGAAAAAGAATGGAATCAGTAGATCAATGAATCAATCCAGAAAGGGCTTCTTCTTCTTCTTCTTCTTCTTCTTCTTCTTCTTCTTCTTCTTCTTCTTCTTCTTCTTCCTTTTCCTTATCCCCAGTTCCTTCTTCCTTCCTCTTCCTCCTCTTTCTCTTCCTTCTTTTTATTCTTCTTTTACTTCTTCTTCTCCTCCCCTTCGTGCTCCTCTTCCTTCTTTTTCTCCTTCTCTTCTTCTTTCTCCTCCTCCTTTTCTCCCCTTTCTTCTTCATCTTCCCTTCCTCTTCCTTATCTACTCCTCATTCTCCCTTCCGCTTCCTCCTCCTCCTTCCGTTTCTCCTCTTTCTCTTCCATTTTTTATTCTTCTTTTACTTCTTCTTCTCCTTCCCTCACTCCTCCTCCTTCTTCTTCTCTTCTCCTTCTTTGTCCTCCTTCTTTTTCACCCTTCTTTCCTTCCTTCTTTCCTTCCTTCCTACTTCTTCTTCTTGTTCCTAAACACCAAATCGTGATACATACGATATCCTGACAGTGTCCCATTATCACCTAAATATTCCTTATACTTCAAAAACGAACATCTGGAAATACATTTGCTGTTTAGTTATTTTTCTTTGTTGGTTTCGTATCTGAAATTAGTTGTAGTCTCTTCTTATTTCAAACATGTCTTATTTTACATCATTAAAAACTAATATTTCTGCCGGAACTTTTCCCCGTGGACGTCAGCCTTAACAGGTTTTGCCGCCTTGTATCATTCTTTATATCTTATTCCCCGTCTTCAATAAAAAAAAAATATATCACTCATGATTTTATTTATTTTTCTTTACACAATTACTGTTCCTTCTATTGATTTTTTTTTAAAGATTTCTTGAATATTCGTATCATTTCTTATTGATTTTGCTTCTTTCCTTTTGTTCAAATCTTACGCTATGTCTCTCGTTTTTCATTTCGTGAGGTGTTTCTGCTCCCACTTGTGTGCTTTCTCATTCCTCTTTGGGTTTTAATCCACCACATCTTCTGTCAAGTTTGTCACTGCTTAATTTTTACTCTTTCCTTTAGGAAAGGCGGTCTTACGGCTATATCATGTAGAAACACCTGTTAAGCAAGGTCGAACCTGGTCAGTACCTAGGTGAGTGACTGGTTGGGAATATCTGGTGCTGTAAGCTTGGATGTGTTGCTGCTGTGAAGGATAAAGGCTTGTAACTGGGAATCAGAATCGGGTTCGTTATATTCAATTACACTTGGGAAAGGTATGAATCCACCTGTTCTCTCCCACCCATGGGTTAATTAATATGACTTTTTTAAATATTGTCGAACTGGTCGGAAAAGAGCCGTGAAGACTTATGCAGCAAATACAGCCCGCTACAGACCATCGACATTAGACTTCGAAACACCATGGCTTCAAATGAAATGCAAAAGGTTGACAATCCGTAAAATCCAAACAAATCAGTCAATATATGTCAATTCAGGAAGGGGCTTCTTCTTCTTCTTCTTCTTCTTCTTCTTCTTCTTCTTCTTTCCTCCTTCCTCCTTCCTCCTTCTCCTCCTCCTCCTTCTTCTTATCCTCCTACTTCTTCTTCTTCTCTTTTCCTCCTCCTTTCCTTCATTCTCCTACTTCTTTTCCTCCTTTTCCCTTCCTCTTCCTCCTCCTTCTTCTCTTCCTCCTCTTCCTTCTTCTTCTTCTTCTCTTCCTCCTCCTTCTTATCTTCCGCCTCATCCTCTCTTTCCTTCTCCTTCCTTCTGCTTCTTCTTCTTTTTCCCTTTAACTTCCTCCTCCTTCTCTTTCTCCTCCTCCTTTTTCTTCTCTTCTTCTTCCTTCTTCCTTCTTCTTCTTCTTCTTCTTCTTCTTCTTCTCTATCTGTATTTCTCTTACTTTCCCTCCACTTTTTGTTTCTCCCCCACCACCACTTTTTTCATCCTATTCCTTTTTCTTCTTCGCCTGTCCCTTTTACTTTATCTTTGTTTATTACTTCCCTCTTCACTCAAAAATCATTTTCTTCTTTCCGAAACTCTCCCTCCTTACCTGTTCATCCCTCTTCTTCCTCTACTATTTTTTATCTTTTTTTTCCTTTTTATTCTCTTCCCACTGTTTCCTTCTTCCACCCTTTTTCCCGGTTATATCTCCTTTCCCCCTCCTCTACTTTACTTCATTCTCTTTCCTCTCTTTATTTTTCTCTTCCTCATCCACATTCTAGAGTATTACTTATCTCTATTCTCCCTAATATGGCTCGTTCTTCTTTCTCTCTCATCTTTTTCTTTTCCTCTTTTCCTACTCTCTTTCATCTCCTTTCTCCACCGTTTCGATTCTTTTCTTCCTCTTTCCCTTTACTTTTTTTTATTTCTCCCCCTCGTTCTTCTATTCTACATTTTCTCCACTCCTCTTTCTTCTTGCCTTTCATTCTTTCACGCTTTTTCCACTCCTCCGAATCTCTACCTCCTCTTCTCTGGTTCCAGTTACTTCCCACCATTTACTATCTGATTCTTTACCTCTTTTTCTCTCATCTCTTCCAATTTTCTTCTTTCTTTTCTCTTCCTTTTTGTCCTATTCTGTCTCTTTTTATTTATTTTATGATCTAACCGTCTTTTCCCTCCAAAATTTTCATTCTTCGTCTTTTTCTTTCCCTTTCTTTCTTTTTCACGCTTGTTCATTCTCGTTCATTTTCTCATTCAGAATTGAGAGAGATCTCATTACATTTTTTTTATTCCCATCATCCTTCACTTTCCTTTTCCTCATTTAATCTTCTTCCTTTTTTGAACAGCATCACTTTAGACTATTTCACTATTTTTGTTCTTCTTCGTTTTCTCTTTCTCTTTCTTATTCTTCTCTCCTACAATGATCTCTCCCTCGTCTTTTCCCCCTTTCCCATTCTTTCCTATTCTGCTTTTTTGTTTCCCTCTCTTCTCGCGAATTCCGTCCTAACCACTTTTTCAGTTACCATCAGCGTACATTCGGATTAAACCACTGGTTCTATGAAAAATAGCAAAGCGAATAGATACAACTGTAGGATGTTGTAGACGTGGGCGCTTCTGATCGATATCCGTTTCAAGAACTACTCCTCCCTCCTCCCTCTTCCCTCCTCCTCTATGACCGACTAACCGTTCCCCTTCCATTCGCCACGTGGTATTCATTCCTAATTACACTTCGCAAAGTGCCGATAATGAACGCCTGTCATTTCCCGCAAAATAATAGTAATTCATTTCCATCGAATCAATATGCGGGGACGAATCGAACGACACGGGACGCTGGTGACTAACTTTAGGCGGCATATCAGATCAGAGCTCGTGGGTGGATCAACTGGCGCAACATCAACATTAGAACAGTGGTCTGGAGAACGTAATATTAAGAGTTTAAAATCATTTCATAATACACACACACACACACACACACACACACACACATACACATACAGTCTGTTGCCTCTAAATGTTGACTTCAATGTTCACTTTTACATTTGCACACGGTCTATCTCTGATATTAAGCACTTTATCCCATAAATATAGCACACCTTAAGAGTAAATTTCGTTATATATATATATATATATATATATATATATATATATATATATTTCTTTTTTATACTGTTTTTAATCCATAATAAGGCCTAAGAGCCATCCAATTTAGATGGTTAGAAAATGAGGTTTCTGTAAAGATATACAGGAAAGGTGTAAGAGGCACTTATTAAGAGCATATGAACGATAAATAACTGTTGACCCTAGAATTGAAGAGGGTATAAATCAGCAAAGGTTCCATCTTGGAAAGAAGCTGCCTGAGTGGAACTTCCTCCTTACAAATGGAATAGGAAGGGAATAAGGGTGAGTCAATATATGTGACATGGCATGTGGTAGCTGTGATCGTAAAAAGTAACGTGAATCTAGCAACGTTTCGATTGTGGGAAAAGGGTTGTAGCGGAGAAAATATCTCATCACCCACAAGGTCGCGTAAACGCTTTTCAACTCTGTCAAGACTGGAAAGAGACGATTAGGTAGAACCAGCCCAGATTTTTGCTCTGATCTCTCTCTTGTAATGTTAGAACATAACAAAACCAATCAAGTATTTTCTGAAATGGTAAAAGCAACTGATCCTTTTTTTCCAGCATACGAGTTCTACGATTTTGGGAGAGAAAGACAGAATCTGTTCTGTGTTGATGATATTAGTGTAGAGAATATGCAATGATGAATGTTGAAAGTGTAAATTTTAAAAATTATTCTGGTGATAATCCCTGGAAAAATAAGGAATGAACATGGTTAAGCTTACTCTAATGGCGAGAGAAAAATGGGCGTGGTATTATGGCTAGGCCTATCTCCTAGGATTCGTGAGATTCGTATCATGGTTCATCGGCTGTACTATACACAAAAGAGGGATAGTCTCTTGAGATTCACCTTACGCATGTTGCCAGTTTTTATTTTTATTTTTATAAAAAGTTGAAAAGGGTAGCTAGGGATAATATGATTTTCAACGGGTTTATCGACTGGTACAAAGCAAAAGTAGAGCCGGACGGAGGGTGGAAAATATACTGACGACATCACTGGGTAGATTGGAAGATCCTTCACACATTGACTCACACATTGGCACGCATACGAGATATCTGGAGAGAGAGGGTCAGATGCACAGCTGCAAAGCGACACTAGGATCACACCCGCACTAGGAACGATAATGATGATGACGATGACGACGATGACGATGATGATGACGACGATGATGACGATGATGATGATGACGATTATGCTTATGATGATAATGATGACGATTATGATGATGTTGATGACGACGATGATTATGCCGATAATGACGATGACGATGATGATTGAGACGACGATGATGATGATGATGTCTATGACGATGATGATGACGATGATTATGATGATGATGATGACGATGATGATGACGATGATGACGACAATGGCGACTATGATTAGGATGATGGTGAATACGATGATGATGATGATGATGATGACGATGACGATGATTATGATGATGATGATGACGATGACGACGACGATGATGATGATGACGATGATGATGATGATAATGGTGTTGTAACTGTACACCGTGTTCCAAGGCCGATGAAATGGCATAATTCTCTTGTTTCCTAACCAAAGCTTGAGGCCTAAATTGAAGAGATTTCTATATTTTATCGCAGGAGGGAAAACATTTTTGAAACCACTGAATGCAAAACTTAGAAAAGACAAAACGGGAAACCACATCACAATTTTGCCTTTGATAGGAATGACGTTTCTAGCGTTAAAACTGTCTTCACACAACACACTGAAATTAATACTTTATGTATTATTAGCTGATATCTTCTTTAATTTTATGTGCCATGTCACTTCAGAACATAAACGATCATTGTTTTCAACTTCTCCCTATTCCTTGTAGCTCTCAATAAGTTTTGTCCCTTTACTACATCCGCCTGGCTATGTTCTATCATCCTCTTGCTTAACTCCGCTAGGTATGTCATGCGTTGCTTTCCCATGTGTCTCTTTCCATCTATTCGACCTGTGAACATCAGATTCTTATCTACAATAACGATATGCAGGATAACATAACAACAATTTAACAGGCCCAAAACACCTTAAAAGTTTCATGCACAAAGAATTGCCAACAAAATTGTCTAAAATTGGCTTGTGAGAACAACATTGTATGAAAATAGTAATGCTAAATTTAGTCTTTTAGTTATAAGGAAACATTGGGCATTCATTGACGCTTTTCTTCACACCCTGGACATCGGACTGGGATCAAAGTGTAGTATCTGTTCTACTCATCTGTAATGGTAATGGTAACATTAGCCTTTTACTATTCAGGAAACATTGGGCATTCATTCATGTAGCAGCCAGTGCTACTCGTTACGTTTTTCTTCACACCCTGCAGAATGTAAGAATAAAACAAAACCTAACCTACACTGTTTTGGGGTAGGTTAACGTAGAGATGTCAATATCCTGATGCCTACCCGGCATCAAAATGCCACTCGAAGTCAGCGCCTTTTACTCGACACAGACGCACAAGTGTTATTCAAGATTCGCCAAATTCTGATGCAGTTAGTCGTTGCTTTTTCGTCCTAATCTTGAATTTAAACTGATTCGTAAAATACCAAATCATTTGGGAAGTGGTAAAATTCTCGTTGCCATAGAAATCGTTCTAGTAAGCAAAATAACACATAAGAGTTCTTAGTCAATTTTCAACGCAGCATGCGAATCTTCAATAAAAGTACACAATGGGACTACGACCCTACAATAGAAGAAGCTGTATACCACAGTTACCACCAACTCACTACAGCGAAATCACTTTGGAGATTTTTCCAAGATTCCTGCACATAGTCCGTTGCCAACGCAGAGGGCCCGTCGTATCAACAGCTAGGTGAGTGACGCCTCATCAATAGTGAGGCAATTCAACCCAAGCGCTTAAGCCCATATATAGTGAGCTTCCTTCTTCGTAAGACTGAGGTCGCTTATCAAATAATCTTGAACAGACCCCTCACTAATACGTAATATAATGTGTTACGGTGAAACGCTTGGACGTCGGAGTGGACATCTGTCGCCCGTAAGAAGTGCCGGAGAGCATTTCAACATTGACGATAGAAGAACAACCGGAGTCGGGGTAAATGTTTGGCACCCTCGCACGAATACACACTTCTCAGGGCGTCTTCCTTAAAATTATTTTCTAAGCGTACTATAGATGGGACACGAATCTGAATATATATATATAACACTTAGTGAGAATCGAACCCACTACTCAGTCGTAATTATTCTAGTGTGTTAAGCTTGCTAAACATTAAACCATCTCAAGGAGCCAACGCCTTAGTGGTGAGTGATATTTATTTGTTAAAATACAAAACGTGCCCCAAGGCTAAAATGGGGAAAAGGACAGTCTTCTTCTGTCTTAACGTTTAAATTAGCTAGGTTCAAACACTGACCCAAACATATAACAATATTCCTAACACCAAAACAACGCAATGGTACTTACCTTTCATACTACATCCACCATAATACCTCCTTGTCTCCATGTAAGTCCTAGCTAGTCCCCATATGTACAATTCATTGTTTCTGTGGGGTGTGGGGGGAGGATTAGAACAACAATTTTTAAAAAAGCCCCAAAGAGTATTTACAATATGAAAAACAAATTATTTACAAGAAACTAAACAAAATAATATTAGTAATCAAACCCTTGCAATCCTTAAATGTGGCAGAAAATCAATTAACTGGACGGAATCAATGCAGGACTGCTATAATATAAGACATTCATTCATCCCAAGCACTCAGACAGACGCAAACTCATTAAGACACAAAACAAAAAAAAATAAAAATAAAAAACACCCGAAACGAAAGGCGTCCCGAATCCACCAGAGAACTGACATCACTGACCAACTAACGAGTGAGGGGAATTAAACGAAAGAAAAATGGGAATAGATATAAAAGTGGTCAATGAGAATACATACCTTAGCTAAGTTAACTGGAATGAAGAAACTAGGGACAAAAAACCCCTAAACTTTAGAGCAGAGTTCAGCAAAACAATTATCATGAAAGTATTTATAGAAAAAAAACACATGGAAGCTCTGGTGGAAACGTGACTGAAACCGAGATGCCAGGTCAGGAATAATGGTCATTGCAGATTTTATCAAGAATCTCTAAATATATAGCCGGAGCCTCAGACTATATATGGTAGCAATATTCAAAGTAAGTACGACTGGAAGATTTGTAAATATTTAAGATAAATACGAACGACAAATATTGTCTACTACGTCATAGTGAACCAAACCTTGCAATTGATTTAATATAATCTTTCCTATTCATGTAAGCAGTTCAGTTTTATACGTAAATTCATTGTAAATTGATCTCTGAACAGAAGACAACATAAATATGGTCATACGAATATGTTTTGGAGATTCATAATCTGGAGTGTTTAATCGATAATAACTGATGAAAAAATATCCTGATCTGTCTTAAGTGCATATTTTTTATCG